GCAAACAACGATGGGGAGGGGAAAAGAGGGAGGAATAATTATTGGACCCCGAATCGACGGCAGAAATCCCGAGCGCCAACCCAGAAAGAGGCCCGAGAAAGTGTGGATTGAATCGGGAAGCTGGCCGCAGTGGCAAAAGATGGCAAATGGGGGGATGGAAATCAATCAATCAATGAACTGTCTCGATCGCGCCAAAATTACACCCGAACCAGAGAGCCACAGGGTTCAATATGCTCCAGACCAGAAAGTTAAGTTGGGACGATGGGGCTACCGTGGGGTCATCTAGAAGCGGTAGCTCTCTTGTCGTTGGAGCGGACAGATGGAGATGAGTCGTCCTGTGGGCGCTGATGAAGCCATACAACAGCCAAATAGGAAAGATAGAGATGAAGTAGAAACACCGAGGTAGACGAGCTGCAAGGAACGTGGGCACGAAGCCAAGCACCAGACAAGAGGTCAGGGCACAGCGTTAGGCGAATGTATGATGATTGGTGATAGTACTTTAGGCGGACGCTGAGTTAGAAGATTGGGAAGTTGGCAGACAAGATAAAGTCAAAAATCAATGAATACGCGGGCAAGTTGTTGTTTTCTTTGGCAAAGGAGAGAAGAGGGATAGCAAGGAGGAATAGTAAGTAGTAGTAGTTGTTGTTGTTGTTGTAGTAGTGGTTGTTGTTTTTGTTGTAGTAAGGAAAGAGGAGAAGGGAATGACAGCCCGGGGACCACGAAGGTTGAATATAGTGTCAGAGGAAGAGAATGAGAATGACGGCCAACGACAGTCATGGAAGGGATGATAAGCCAGTCGTCAGTCAGTCTCAGTCATACTTTGGATGAACTACTAAGAAGAACGAGCAGACGTCGTCAGTCATCCATCCTTCTTCATCGCCGCCTCGGAGCCTCTGGAAATTCCTAAATTTTGTTTATTTTATTTTATTATTTTTTTTTTTTTTTTGATTGGGATAATAATTTTTAATATTATTACTACTGTTTTATTTCATTCGATCCGATTGTTTTCAGTTTAGTCCAGCTTCCCGTTTCCGAGTATCACTTGCCCTCTTCTACTACTAACTACTTACTGCTAGTAACCTACTTACGTCTGGTCGATGAAACAAAGACCCCTACAACACTACTGGAGCAGACTGGCTGTCTTCTCATGAACCTTACTTCTTCAAGAGTATCTGATTGCTACAAACATTCTCACCCATCCCAGACAATTTCCGTCCATTCCGTTGGTAGCAGAACCAGCAAAGAGAGGAGAGGGGGGGAAACACTACAATACCAGGGGGAAAAGGAACAAGCTCGACTCAAGCGCCGCTGCCCACTTTTTGCATGCGACCAGGCCTCGGATGGCGTGCCAGAGCTCCTGCGCCAGGGTCCTATCCATGCCCAGGAATCGGCTCCGAAAGTCTCTCGGCTGACCCCGGTTACAGAGTTTAGTGCTAAGCAGCTCGGCGGTTGACAAAAATATTCAATAATCCCAAAAGCCATGGCTGAAACGAGACCAGGTGCCTACGCAAATCGGATCGAAGGGGGGTGCGGAGATTAGCAAATGAGCTTACTGCAGAAGTCTATCCTTAGGAATCTGTTGCCGACAGCCTTCTTTTTCTATTTTTTAATTTTCATTTTTTCCCTTCCTGGCCCCGGTTCCCGTTGATTGACTGGCGGGTTGGTTTTCCTGCGTGGGCTTTTTTATTTTTTATTTATTCTAATTTTATTTTATTTTTTTACTTCCTACTCTTTTTGACTGGGTTTAATTTTGATTTTATTATTATACCATCTTAATTGTTGTCGTTCTTGTATTCTTTTTACTTCTACGGTCTTTTCTATGTCTTCTTCTACCCTTCATCGCTTATTCAATGCTGATTGATGAAATAATTGCTTTTTCCTGATGGCCAGATGAATTTCAACCTGATCCCACTTTGGGTCAATTCGGAGGGGCAACACGAGCGGGATGACGATGACGATGCTGGGACCAGTTCCGACGGTCCATCTGCTAAAATTGTTATTGTCTCTCGATGCGAATGTTTCTCATATATTAAAAACCACTGGCCCTACGGAATAGCCCGGTGTGTGGGTTCTTTGTTTGATCGTTGCGACTTCTAAATTGCTTCCTGCGCCTCATGGAATTACTATTATTATGGATTACCGAGTTAGCACCTACTACTAGATAGATACTAATCACTTAGTACTAACAACCAGCGCTACAACGGCCCGTCATCGCGTGTGTGTCTCTTTGCTGCACCACAGCCTTCCGGTAACAAGCTCCCGTGTTGGGCTCGCCGTTTTCTTTCCCTACCCCCATTGTCCATCGCTTGGGGGCCTCTTTCTTTCTTTTTTTTCTCGTTGCGCTTACCCGCCCACAGGCTGTTGACTGTTGAGCTGGTTGTTCTTAGTAGAGGATCAGACCTCTGGCTAGATGGGAGTATCCCGAGATCGACAGTGGCAGTGTCTTCCTGGGTACCGGCTACGAGTCCCTACGACCACAACGTGTCCGTCACAATTTCTTTTCACCAGTCTGCTCGTCTTAATTTGGTTTCATTCTACCTTTTCTGTATTTCTATTATTTCTTTATTTCTTTTTCATCTACGGATTGCCCAGGAATTAATGGAAAAAAATATTCTTGGTGAATCCATGGGCCACGAGGTCCCACTCAGGAAAAGGGCGGAACGGCTGAGCTTCCCAGAGGCTGGGACGGAAGAACGGTTGAAAGTAGTTGGAAGGGGATTTTAACTATGGTTCTGACTTCTGACATTCGTCGGTACGGAGAGCAACTCCGTGCTTAAATTCTGACCTGCAGCTGAGGAGGTTCCTTGGCCCTTGACTAGTCTTTTTCTAGTTTGTAATCCATGAGGCGGAATTGACATGGATCAGGTTGTTCTGGGCAGGACTGGCATTTGGCCTTGGCCGGGCTTGGATTGGTACGTCCCTCTCGTCTTCTAGTTCAGCCTGGAACCGCCGTGGTTCGCTGATGATCATCACGGCAACTCCTGGCAGTCCAACTGTTAGCTAGGCTGTCTACAGTAAGCCTGTCCTCTCCTTTCCCCTCCCCATTCTCCATCCATGGATGGAGCCCTGGGAGTCGTCAAAGCCGAGTGGCTTTCCACTTTCCTTCTCCCCCCTCCTCTTCGCATCTACCCATCAGCTTGCTACTTTGGGTTGGTTGGCGTGTCCCAGGAGGTCATAGTGATGACGGAGACATGGAAAGTCAAAGCCGCCTTTACCACCTGGTCGATGGGGCTCCTCAACGGTTTGATTGGATGTTGAAGCGGATCTTTTTTACTATTCTTAATTCTCCTCACCGATGCTGATGGAGTCCGTGTGTTGCTGGTTTCCCCCCCTGAGTGCGTGGGAGGGATGTGCGTGAATTTGGGGATGTGTTTCCTGAAACGTCGTCGGAGGCGCATTTGCCCTCGGGCCGTACAGTTCGATAGTCTCCAGCAGAATGGTTGGCTGTCGGACAGTAACCTGCGCGCGCCACGATTGCCGGACCCTACTTAGTAGTACTACAGGGTACTAGTCAGTGACTCCCGCGGATTGACTCGGATGAACAGGGTGCTACATAACTCTACAGGGTATACGTACATGTCTCCGAGAGTAGAAGAATGTGCAAGGGGAGACAAGACATTCATTCATCAGCAGCAGCATCATTTATATCATTGGTTACTGCTCTACTGTCTACTTCAACCATCCGTACCAGACGAGCAGTTCAGCATCGTTCTGACGATCTACTCGGAATCCCGCCTCCGGACAGAGCCTATTGGCCGAGCCACATGGACGCACGAGGCAGCAACCGTGGTCAAGTTCCACCGCAAATCCTGCACATTACGCGATGGGGAATAATAATAATGTTAATGCCTCTTTCTGTCTCTGGGCATCGTTCTCTGTCTCTGTCAATTGAGCCGGTGAGCTGCTTTTTGCTGCTGGCTGCTGTTGCTGCTGCTGGCTGACGATGACTTTGGATCACCGTGGCGGAGTTGGAGTCTTACGAGTGACGCCAGCTTCGGACGAAACACGGAGAAAACCGCCCGGGTGGTGGCCAGAGCGAAAAATCCCCGGCCCATCCTTCTTGTCTTTTATTTTTTACTTTTATTTAATATTTATTATTTTTCTGTTTCTGATCTAATTTCCTCTACGGCCAAAGAGAGCGAGCGAGCGAGAGAGATCGGTTCGCCTAGGATTTGGTTATGATTGCCATTCCTCGGCCTTTGCCATATTCTTGCTCCTGCTGAATGTAGTTTAGTATGCGGGATCTGATGGGAGATTTTTCGTTTCTTTTTTTTTCTTTCTCCAAATTCCCCTCTTTCCCTTTTCCTCACTGTTGGCCGGTTAATCTTATCCTCTTTAGCTCTTCAGAATTTTCGCTTGGCGTCTTCTCCTACGCAATTCATTTGTCTTCGAGAGGCTTTTTGAGGCTTGTGTGGTCACCGTATCACTTGCCATCCACCTCCGTCAGCCTGGCCCGTGGACTAACTTTAGCCGTCAGATCTCTGGGCCAATGAGGAGGCGTATGTTCCTTCTCCTCAGCAGTTGCCATTCAACCGTCGACTCGGGCGAGAGACTATCATCAGGTAGTCGAACTTGGCATCCCTATCCCAGTATCTAGTGGTGTGTCTGTGTCTGTGTGTGCGGCATCCATCAAGGCTCGGGCTCCTGACGGTCATGTCGATCCAACAATTAAACGGAAGGGAAAATAGTGGAAACAGGGTCCATTGCTTGTCGCACTGATAATCAGCAGACGCTCCCTCGGAGACGTCTTAATCCAGTCATCGATCGTACTGTAGGCATCGTGTTCCGAGTGGCTAGCTGACGAGGACGATGTTTGGTTAGGCACCATTCTACCACTTTTGCCCTTTCGGCTCGCGGAATCCGGAGAGCCCAGTAACTGACGCATCTTCCTGGTACCTACATATTTTCAAGGAAGCACGAGGACTAGCTCCAAGTCGCGACGACCGTCGACCGAGCGCCGACTATGACCGTCGTGTGCCTGCGCAGGACCAGCGAAGTTGGGCGGGGTGGGCACGAGCTCTAGCCGCATCATGGATCCAGCTGCATGCTGCTATTTCATTCTACTGGACATACACGCACGCACACACACAAAATGTTGCCCTGTCTGCTACGGAAATGATATCCCCAGCCAATCTAGTGGGAGAGGTCGCACAGACGGACAACATCCGCATTCCTCGTCGGTGCAGGTTACGCATTCCCCCCTGTCTTGTGCCGTGGGCTAGAAGCCCTGATTTCTCCTTTCGGCCCCTCATGCTTCATCTTCGTGATTTGATAGAAATTATTACTCTGATCATTGTTTCTGATATTTTCGGTCTGCTTCTGGGCCTATCGACTCGAACATTCATCGCTCAGGCCTATCCCTTTGTGGAGGGCCAGGCGCACAGCCCGGTCCTACTAATGGGATTAGCAAAGCATAGTACGGAGTAAGACGTCGCGAGGTCCATTGTCGCGGAAGGATTCGTTTTTGAGGCCTGCGGGTTGGTTGCATGACGGCCCGTTGGCTGGAAGCTCGGCTCAGGAACCTGGGCAGCTCTAGCTGGACATCTAGGCTCGTGTCGAGATTATGCGTGGGCTTGAGTCCCCGCACCAGTATCAGCCAGGTGTGCTCAGATGCCTGATGGTGAGCCTAGGCTCCGATGTCGATTGCTGAATACCACAGTCATTATGCCCTTTTACGAAGTGGAAATCATCAATATCCACCGAAATTATCATCATCGCGACCATCAACCACGAGGAATGAAAAGGAGATTAAGAGGTCGTGACTAAGGATGACTAGCGACTGCAAGTCTGGTAAGGCCGGAGAGGTGGTGGTGGCATGTAACGTAGCCGGGCCGGATATTCTAACCGAGATCTCTAACGATGCGACGATACGGTTAGACCTTTAGAGCCCGTCTTGACGGTCCTGGAGATGACCGGAAATTAAATCAACACCACCATTCACCATTCACCCATGATAAGACAAGCCACCTGAGGGGTAAGTAGATTGTCGACGCCAATGGGATTGATCACACAGTCTACAGCAGGAATTAATAGGGATTTTCTTATGACCTATAACAAGATGATTAAGAACGAGGTGGAGAGAGATGGTTACGATAGTCGTGATCTCTCTTTCCAATCCGTCTCCGAGACTCCGAGGGGGGGGGCTGTCATGTCAGCCAGTCGCACTTTCCGGTGAGCTAAAGTTAGCAGCCAGTCAAACGCATAGAAATGGGCGCAGATTCCGACAGCCGGACGGGAAAGGATCCCTTTGGAGTATGGCTAGATACTGTACAGTACTAAACTAATGCTAATGTGGTCCGGTTTGGAGACACCACCGGGTAACTGACCGGATGATTATTATTGGGTAAATGGCAATTTCTCTGCTCTGCTAGTAGCAGCGCACAATCAATCAATTCCCAGGGTCCGGTGCCCCCCTCCCCTCCCCTCCCTCCATTATTCATGAGTCCCCATGTGGACGGTCCTTCCCGTGACAGTCTGCCGCTGCACCCCATCCTGTAACCATTGAGATAGTGAGCAGTAGACAGATAGATGGATAGATGTGGTCTCATCTCTTCCCAATTCCTCTTTTGCGCACGCGCTGATTTACTAGTCGGTTTTCCTGTTCCATCCCACGGCAAGTCTTGGCTAGCTTAGGACTAGTTAGCTGTCTGGCCAGACCGACCCTGCATCGCTTCTCCTAGATAATCATTTCGTATTTCCAATGCTACTAATGCTGAAGGGGCGGTGTCATGAGGGAGTAGATAGGTATCTACTTGATTACTAACTAATTAACTACTACTACCAAACGTATACTAATCTCCCCTCCCACTATCTATTCCTCATTTCCTCTGGAGGCTACGTAAACCACTACTATCTAGTAGCTAGTCAAGTAAGAAAGTAAACTTCCCGAGGTGTCAGCCCAGGAAACCTATCCGTCCATACAAGCCCGTCCGTCCCATCGCAAACGCCAAATTCGGTGAGTTCCGGTCACCGGGACCAACCTTCTAACCCACACAGCAACAAGGGTCTCTCACAGACACAGACACACCCTCTTGCCACTTTACTGCCTCCTGTTCCATCCTTTTTCGTCCCCCCGTCACCCCTCTTCTTCCCGCACCCATCTCTGTAAGTGTATGCTGCTTGTCCACCGGCCCTCGGCACCACTTCGGTCGGCTCAATGCCCAATGATTGACGATTGCCCGTGAGCAGGGGGGCAGGCATCACGACCAGTCCACGTGGGGGATGCGATGCATTGACCTCTTGTTGTTGATGTTGCTTGGGCCAGTCGTATTAGCTGATTTGATTTTATTTTCTCTGTCGTCGTAATTCGATTCCACTTGCGATGGGAAGAGTGAGGTCATATCCTTTTGGGATCGATCGATCTGTCGATGAGTAGTACTAGTACGTACGTACTAGTTACTTAGATAGGCGATGCCGGTTACGCAGTACTGTGTTTGTCAATATGTGTGTGGGATCACAGTTAACTATAGTATAATATGTTGTAGAGTATCTACTACGAACAGTAGCAATATGCCATATTATTCTACCGATTATAAGCATCTTGCGAGAGTAACATTAACACACTGGAAGTAGATACTAGAAGTAGTGCCCAGTCCATTGAGGATCAAAGATTCCGAGATCGCGCGGGTCAATGCTTACGAGGGATTCATCCATGAGTACTAGATACTTACTCCGAGGGAAGGAAGTGAGATCCATTAGTATTTGGTGTAGTCATGCAGTATTGGTTCGATGAGAAGATAGTTCCTATCTAGACCAATTGATTGATAGTTATATCAGGTATACTTGTGTAGTCGTCGGCTATTGCAAGTAGTATCACTATCTAAGCGATGCTCGTGCCCTACCTACGATATCTCTAGGATATGCGCTAGGCTAGTCCGCGAGGGCTTTGTACTCTAGTAGTAGTATTCCTGGGATAGACTTTCTCCGGGGTCAGTGCTTCCAATATATCACACTAGAATGATCATGCTAATTGATTCGTGTGTTCAATTGGATTAATTGATGCAGTGATATACAGTTATCTGTCGGATGTGAGGCATTTTGTTGATGCAGATTGCTTACTTAGTTGCTAGGGTATTACTACTGAGCAAGGATATAAATGAATATGAAAGAAGAAGTATCACTATGCATTCAGCCCACTCATTTATCTATATTCCACTCCGTGCAATGTAATACGATCAAGCAAAGCATGATTATGCTAGCAGCCAACCTGTCTGCATACTCCCTCCTCATCCTTACTTCTTACCTATTCCATAGCATAGTGGATAGATAGTGTCGTGCTTCGCCTCGGCTATGACGATACCTCTCAACAGTCAACTAAGTAAGCTAAATAAGCTAACTAGTCAGTCAATTAGCGAGGACAACACCTACACGGACAGAATTGACTCGACTGGTCCTTTCTCCTACTGACTACCAACTAGTCACTTACTATCTAGCCCATTGCTCAATCTAAACTAGTAATAACGCCCAAGCTAAGCCATCTAATCAAACGGGACAGCTCCACGATGAGTACTGGTTAGCGGGTAGCCCCGAAATGATCGGAAGTGGTTCCGATAGTTGGGCCGGTAACTCCGTACGGAGTAGACTAGTAGATGATTTGGGCGGGCTTGAGGGGAATTGGATGGGGCGGAGGTAGTAGGTCCGCTGACTGGACGTTGGTTAGTTAGTTCTTCTCTCTTCTCGTGTTAGTTGATTTGCTGAGTGAGTGGTTGGTTGGTTAATTGGGTATATCGGAGGTGTGTGTCGGAATGTCCGATGAGTAGTATTTGTGTAGAGATGAGGTATAATCTTAATTTTTGATGAAAGGAATTATAGTACTCTGTAGTATTAAGTGAGTATCATATTATGGATATATTGATTGATAATCAATGAACACTCACAACTAGAACAAGAAACTAATAGACAGACAGACAGAAGAAACAGAGAAACACCCAACTCCCCCAATGCCATCCATCATCCACCCCTTCTCTTCCAATACTACTACCTACTTACCACCACCACCATAAGAACACTCCAACCTAACAAGACAACTTAAAAACATGATAAAATCATATCTTCATCCCCTCCCACCCCCGAACAACAACCTCCACAATCCTCTTCACCCCCTCAATCTCCTCCTCAGCCATCACCCCCATCGTCGCAGGCTCAATACTCCCGCCCACATAAACAGGCGTTTTCATTCTCCTTGCGAGAATCTTTGCAATTCGGGCTGTGTATTCTACACTTCCCGGGGAGGAGTAGATGGTTGTTGATAGCACGTTTTTGGGATTCATTCTCTGTAGTCATCATTAGTTTGTTTTATACCCTCGTTGCTACTATACCTGTAGTATGTATAGTAGGTTATGGTGCCATTGATGGGTATATAGAGTAAGGAGCGTATGTTCATAATGGCGAGAAGCAAATTAGTAGGGAATAGCAGGAATAGATACTTACATCCGGCATCGCATACACAAAACTCCCCATGGGCTTGATACTCCCTGCTGCATCGCCCGGCGTCGACGAGGTCAGGAATACCGTGCTGCAGGTTTGGTGTCGTGTGAGGTGGATGTGGGCGGTCGTGTGGGGGGTGTAAGGGAGGGGGAGGGAGAGTTCTTTGATTTCTGTTGTCATCTTTGTTTCCTTTTTCTTTTTATTTCAACCTCCTTTCTTTATTGATTTCTCTAATTGAGATAGTATTATTATGTGGTGGGTAGGTGCTGAGTATCTGTTGAGTATGTTTGTGGTTTGCAATTCAAGATAGATGTTGCTAGCTAGCTACCCAGCTGGTTTGAAGTTTGGTGGTTTGGTTTGCATCACCGCTTTGAGGTCCGCATCTTCCCCGCCAAAAGTCAGTGAGTTTCTTGTGCGGGTCGCCCGCGACATTCTTTGCGACGGTTTTTGGGTTACCACCGTTGTTCTCTCTTGGGCTACAGTAGGTTCTTGAACGTAGGTAGGTAGATCTATTCTTACTTGACTACGGGCTTGTCTAGCATTGGGACTGGATTGCTGATTATACGAATTGCTAGTCACTGCACCATGGACGAGCACGAGGCAGATGAAATCCGCAGCTGGTCGGGCGATTTCGACCCCTTGGCTGATAATGCCGAGCGCCGTGTGCTCTTTGCTGCTTTTGATTCCTTTAGGTGAGTCACTTGCTACGTGACTGGTCGTGTTGTTTGACATAATCGGTGGTAGTCCGCTGGCATGTCATCTACGTTGCTAACACCCTCAGGCAATATCGGAGAACGGCGCACATGAACACCACTCACCGTCGTCGTCAGGCATTTTATGCCCTACCATCTGCCCACTGGCAGATGTTGTCTGAGCCGCCATTCTCCATTCTCGACAACTTCAACCGCGTGGATGACGCCATCGACGTGAACGCCGACATCGCAGATGCCATTCTGACCACCGGCCTCTCGTCGTTCGGGCTATCAGCGAACCCTGATCCCAATGACCCGCGTCAGAACTGGCATGGGACGGCCACCCAGTCCGATGTCAACAAGGCGCACTCCACCCTGAGACAGTTCTACCGGGACTGGAGTCACGAAGGTCAAGCAGAGCGAGACGTCTGCTACGGCCCAGTGCTGTCTGACTTACAGAACGAGTTCGGCGCACGGATTGGCTCCGAAGATGAGGATGAAGTCAGGGTGTTGGTTCCTGGCGCCGGTCTGGGAAGACTGGTGTTTGAGATCTGTCGGCAAGGCTTCGCCGCGGAAGGAAACGAGATCTCCTATCACCAGTTGCTGGCGAGCAGCTGGATTCTGAACCACACGCTCGGCCCTCAGAAACACGCGCTGCATCCATTTGCGCTGCATTTCTCAAACCTGCTGTCTCGGGAGCAGCAGCTGCAGGAGGTCAAGATTCCGGATCAGCATCCGGGCACGGCCATGGTGGAAGCCCAGGAGAACTCGGCGCCATTTGGGCGCATGAGCATGTCGGCGGCCGACTTTACTGTGCTGTACACCAACCCCAGCAATAAAGAGGTGTTTGATGCCGTGGCGACGGTGTTCTTCATCGACACGGCGCCGAATCTCATCCGGTATATCGAGGCGATCCGACACTGCCTCAAGCCCAACGGCCTCTGGATCAACGTGGGACCGTTATTGTGGCATTTCGAGGACGGCAGCAACCGCAGTCAGCACGGAGGCAGTGACGAGGGTCAGGGTGACCAGGGGATTGGGGAGCCCGGGAATGTGGAGCTGACGGAGGCAGAAGTGTTTTGCCTCGTGGAGCGAATGGGCTTTGCGATCGAGAAGCGCCAGGCGCCGCACGGGCGACCCATGTGTGGATATATCCAGGACCCGAACAGTATGTTGCAGCCATTGTATCGGCCGTCGCATTGGGTAGCACGGAAACAAAATGTATAAAGGATGTTATATACAACTGATTTTATTGAAGTCTTGTAGATGATGGCAGGTGATGATGATGGCGATGATCAAAACAGGCCGGTGTCGGTCGGGAGTAAGCAGCAAGCAAGCAAGCCAACGGGGAAACAGAAGATGTGGGATGTTGGTCTGGTGTTGTGTCATGAAAGATACCATACGGAAATAAAACCAGATCGGCGATACGGGACACAAGTTTTCAGCCGCAGACAACGAAGAAAGAAGAGGGAAGAAGACAGTTGACAGAGACACAGAGACAGAGACAGACAAGGCTGGCGAAGGCTTAGCGGGCGTGGCTGAACCCGCCGGTTCCTTGGGGCCATTCCTTGGAGTGAGTCCACTCCGTCCATGGGAGGCTAAGTAAATACTAGTAAGTCAGAGATGAGTGGAGTGGACGGCCAAACAAAGGACACAGTTCGGGCAGATGCAGATCCACCCACAACAAGAAGACGGATCGGCTCAACTGCCAACACTCGATAATAAGGGATCATCGGGTGTCAATCTCGAGTTCAACAAAAGTTCTTTGAATTATAGACGAGGAGGCTGGGAGGATGAGAATCGGGATGATCGCACGCGAATATTTACTCTCATCTCACTGTAGATGGGTGTCGTTTTGTGGAAGATGAAATCAATTCAATCTCTCGAAAGGGATCCTTACGCCGAGGCCAAACTGGGGTTCCTTTCAGTATCAGACCATACCGTACCGTATGGTATCATCCATTCATAATAGAATCAGGCTGAGAAAAGAATCATGTTCAACCATGAATTTACCAGACTTTATCTGGTTGAGAGAAAATCATATTACTTAGATTGTTTTTTCTTTTTCTTTTGATGGCATCCGGACCCGTCAAGACAGACCCTAAGAAGTAAGTAGTAATAGTAGTAGTCGGAGAATTTGGGGAAGGGGAATCCAGGGTTGACAGAACAGACATCCAGTCGGGCGTTATCGCGACCCTCTCAATTTCATCATTCCAGAGCACGGATTCCCTGCCATCAAATCAATCCCAAATCTCACTTCATAAGCAATGGTGGTTAGTTAGTTAGTTCGTTAGTTGTTTAGTTAATTAGCTGGGCGTTTAGTTAGTTGGTTCTGTTTTCGCTTTCTCTTTTCTTACCTTTACCCTTTCCATCCCCTTTTCGAGGCTGAATCTTCCCGATCCTTGACATTTCTCATCGCATCGCATCTCCCCCGCAATCAATTTGGTGACAAAGTTCAGTTAACTTTCCCGTCTGTTTGTGTTTAGTTTAAACTGTTGCTGCTCCTCCTCCTCTTTCTCCGACTCCGCCTCAATCGATTCCACGCCCACTTTTCCTGCCATTCCCATTCCATTTCCTTTTGGGGGAGGAGAGAGTCACTCACTCACTCCCTTCTCTTGTCCTTCGTTCTTACCTGCTTTGCTCTGCTGCCTTAACCCATCTGACCCGCTTACTCTCTCACTCTCCCTCTCTCTCCCTCCATTCTTTCCCTCCCCCTCCTCTTCCTTCCTTCCTTCCTTCCTTCCTTCCCTTTCCTCTCCTCTCCTCTCATTCCCTCCCCTCCTTCCCTTATTTCCCCCCCTTAATCTGCATCCTCCCTCCGTGCCATCATCCGGTCTTCCATATCGACCTGATGAGCTCACGGTTGAACTTCAAATCGTTCACCTTCGGGACGAAGCGCAACAAGAACCACTCGCCTGTGCAGCACAGCCAACCTGTGAACGCTCCTTCTACCAACACCCTCGTCGCCGCTCCCTCCTCGGCCACTTCGCCCAGCTCTCCTCCCTCCGGTACCAGTTCCTCGACCACCAGCCTCCCCATGAATAACCAGAATACTTTGGGGCGCCCCCCGAGCTACACCTACAACACCGCCGGCCGGCCCACCAGCCCTCTGCCGCCAGGCCAGCCCATGCCTCACCACCCTCCGCCGTTAAACACCAACCTACCGTATCCCCAGTCCTCCATGGCCCCCATGGGCGCTCCCCCCGGCTACGGGTTACAACAGCAGCTCGGTCCTGGCATGGCTCCCGGCCTTCACCAACCCCAGTACGGCGTGCGGAACCCCGCCGTCGAAGTAGAAGGCGCCGGCCGGAGTAAGGCTCAGTTGATTGTGGGTATCGATTTTGGCACGACATTCTCCGGTGTGGCTTTTGCATTCGCGACCAACAACGAGGCGAGAGAGGACATCATCACAGAGTGGCCTGGCGCAGGCACTCACACCAAACAAAAGGTGCCGAGAAGCCCCCCCCGCCCCTCACTTCCGCACATGACCAGCTTACTGACCAGTGTCTTTACTTGGCTCGTCTAGATCCCGACCGTTCTGTACTACGATCAGTACCAAAAGGTGGTGGGTTGGGGCCCGGATATCGCTGATGCTTTGGCCCCCACCGGATACCCGAAGCAAGGGGTACAGAAAGTCGAGTGGTTCAAGCTTCAGCTGATGCTCTCCGGAAACACGTACATTGACCCCATCAACCTGCCGCCTTTGCCTCCGGGCAAGTCGGAGATCGATGTCGCCGCCGACTACCTCTTCAAGCTGCGACAGGCCATGCGGGCCCAACTCCAAAAGACCTTGGGTGAAGTGTTTACCCGTGAAGAGCGAAACATTCGGTACTACATCACCGTACCGGCCATTTGGAACGATGCTGGGAAAGCAGCAACACGAGCCGCCGCCCTCCAGGCCGGCTTCCTGAGAGACGAGAATGACAACCGCCTCACCTTGGTATCCGAACCTGAGGCAGCGGCACTTTTCTGTGCAAAGACCGGTCTGCTGAACCTCAAGATTGGGGACGCCATCCTCATTGTCGATTGTGGAGGTGGTACGGTCGACTTAATTGCGTATGAGGTCGAAGAAGAGCAACCGTTCAGCGTCGCGGAGTGCACCGCGGGCTCTGGAGATTCGTGTGGTTCCACCGCGCTCAACCGGAACTTTAGCAACATCCTCCGTGCGAAGATTCGCAAGATGAAATTGCCGGATGGATCCCGCACGGCAGGCAAGGTGTATGCCAAATGTATCATGGACTTTGAGAATCGTATCAAGGCCGACTTCCGTAACAATGGCCAGAAATGGGCAGTGGATGTCGGAATTGAAGCCGACTTCCCCGACGCAGGCATCGAGGAGGGTTACATGACGTTCACTAACGAGGAGATTCTGCAATGCTTCGAGCCCGTCGTGAATAGGATCCTTGAGCTGGTGCGCAATCAAATCATAGCGATCCAAGCGCAGAACAGGTCACTTCAGGTTTGTACCCACCATCCGTCCGCCCAGCTGCATTGGAAAGCTAACCAAAAATGCAGAACGTCCTTGTTGTTGGTGGTTTCGGTGCCTCGGAGTATCTTTTCCAGCAGATCAAGCTCCATGTCCCTCCACAATATCAGTCCAAGGTAGTCCGACCGATGGACTCGGTCGCTGCCATCGTTAAAGGTGCCGTAACCGCCGGAATCACCGAGCGGGTGATTACGCACCGTGTAGCACGACGCCATTACCTGATGGCCACGCTGCAACCCTTCAAGGAAGGATATCACCCCGAGCAATACCGGGTTCCTAGTCTTGACGGCCGCGACCGATGCAAGTACACAAGGCAAATATTCGTGCAGAAGGGCGAGCGGGTGAAAATCGGCGAGCCTGTCAAGGTGAGCTTTTTCCGGCAGGTTGCGCCGGGAGCGACCCTCATGTACGAGGATATTCTGTACGCGTGCGATGAGGATGTTTGTCCAGAGTACACTAAGGATCCACGTAAGTTGCATTTCGGACTGGCTGCCTGGTTGATGGGGTGCTAACGTTGAATGCAGGTATCAAGGAAGTCGTCACCCTCACCTCCGATCTGTCCCGTAAGAACTTGGAGACCGATTTCGAGCGCATGGACACGCCTCAGGGTACTTTTTACCGAGTGTACTTTGACATTTACCTCACACTAGATGGTAGTGAATTCAGCGCAGAGCTTGTCTGTCAGGGCGAAGTGATGGGTCGGTGCCGGGCCAAATTCAGGTAGACGGCGCCCTGCTTAGGTTAGGCAGGCAGGCAGCAGAGAGCGCTCCTGTATGGATGGTCCGAAAAAAGAAACGACTGAGAGTACAAATCGGGTTGAATGTGGAAGTCCCAACTTTTGTGATACACCAATGATGATCAGCACTGCACTGGGAGGGCGTTTTATATGCTTGAGCTTGCGTCCGTGTGGACGATTTTGGACATGATCATTTTGTTGCGAGCCCCACCGACTTTGGGGCCAATTGTCTGTGTTTTCTTATTCCCCTGGATACCTCTTTGGATGAGCTTTTTGATGAATTCTATTTAATCCCATAATGGCAAAATTATCCATGATGGTTTCTTCCACCGCCGCTGTCCCTTTCGGGACCTAGGTCATTCTTCCGGGCCGACTACTACTGTACTAGACAGGTCAATAATTACCGTCCAGGTGCATATACCCAATATTAGGACATACGTTATTGGTTATGAAATTATCCGACATTGAGTTATTTTCTCCCCATCATGTTTATATTATCAGGAACCTCGGTATGAAGTACCGTGGTAATTATTGGGCACCATTATGAACAACCATACAGTAGGCATCTCCATAACCCATACGGAGTACCTGGAGTGACTACTTCTTCTTTAGGTAAAGACTGCTAAGTACTACGTCAAATTAGACTCCCTCTCACGCTCTCTACAGTAGGAAACCAAGATAAGCCACGTAGTTCTACACAAAGAGACGGATAACATAGACGTGTACGTTCATGCACGTCTGACGCTGGTGGCTTATTTAGGAAGATAATGGATCAAGGCATCCATTATTCCATCATCCGTTGATAACAAATGAAGCTGTCACAACTACTGTATATATATATAGCAAATGTGGGGTGCTTATTGGATGCATTGATAGATATATGCATGGGGGGCGGGCATTGGAGATAGCCATATCCTGTCTTATCATATTCTACGCAAATCCAGTAGTAGAAAGACGCGTCTGACCAGTTGGGGTTAATGGAATAGGAATGAATGGATGTTAGAGCCACGTGTATGGGTGGGTGGTGGGAGCCTGGGAAGATGTGTGTCCTTACTCAAGAGGTAAATGCATAGAGTAGCTAAGAGAGAAAGAGCCTAAAGGGAATGTTAATGAGATGCTTACAAGGGCTCTTCAGTAAGATGTAAGCAGCACTTTAGACCTGAATGGTCACTCCAGGGCACGGGGGTATCCAATTGTCGTAGCAGTAGACCTTGTCCCACGCTATTGATTGCACCGGGATGAAGAATGTCCATCTCTTGCCCTTTCAGGCCAAGAACGGCCACTTTGTCCAACCGTCCTGGAGGGAAAGGTTCCCGACCATCAAGACCCCAGGTGAAGCCCGGTTCGTCGGGGTGCAGCTCGTTCCACACATCTACCAGACCGTTGGTGGCCACGAGACTGTCATCCTCTGGGAGAACAGGGTTGAAGTCTCCTGCAACGAAGCCATGTCCGGCACAACGGAGACTATTTGCAACGATGGCGAGCTGCCGTGGACGACAACTTGGCTGGAAAGCAAGAGAGTCCAGATGCACGTTGACCAAACGGACACGGGTAGCGGATTGTGGCATGAAGATATCACAGCAGAGAGCGTCTCGGTCAAACTTACTTGGATAGTTAACTCGCCAGACTGGTCCGAGGCATGCTTTGTCTGGGTCCTGACTGTCTGTACTGAAATTGGCTTTGGATAAGAGTATCACGGTAATGAATGCGAGACCCCCATAGTTGCTGAGCTCCCCCTCGTTAGAGTACCAATTCTCGCGAATCCAGGGTTCATTGAGGAGGTAAAACAGTGCTGCCTTAGGGACTTCTTGGAAAAAGAGTATGTTGGGTGGGGACGTTTGATTGCGTATGGTGGAAATGATGCCGGCCATACGGTCATCGGGAAACTTGGCGAAGGCATCTACATTCCATGTTACAAGATTAAGTGCAGGTATCTTCAGTTTCGCTTTGTCTGAGGCTGGCATTGCGCTCTCATCGCAAGTCACTGAGGTAGAGGGTGGAAGTGGGCTCCAACACTTGGAGAGTGCATCGAAGGAGTACCATTCCTGAAAGGTTGGCGGGGCATCCGCATCAGCTGGTAGCGGAGGGGACTGTGTAGAAACATTTGCTGAGGAAGTCATGGTTGTGCAGTGCAGAGACACGTTCCTCACGATCTGCCTGGATGACCCAATTGGAAGGGGTGGAGAGGCTTGGTGATGAGCCTGCAGTGGCAGTTTTCGTTGGATCCGAGGATGAAACAACGAGGGGGGTGACACAGCTGGGGCGAAGTGCTTGCTTGCTCCTGGGATAAGGACGAGGGGAAGAACGAAGGAGGAGGGGAAGATGCGTTGGGATGGACGTTGGAGCGAGCCTCCTTGCAATCACATGATGCAGGGGTCATTCACCAGCTGGATCACATGATGGCTTCCAAATCGCTCAAACAGGAAGGCCACCGCATCCACGTTTTCACTCTGCTGCGAGGAGACCCTCCAAACCTGTCTGTCGGGCGTCTTCCCCCTTCGTGGCAGCGTCTGTGTTCCGTCGGCTCAATTGATTTCATCATCTTACTAAGATCTAGGCAGCGCCCTGTTCAGCTGCCTTGAAAAAGCCAAGGCCACTAGAGCCCCGTTCAGCAACGGCGGCAGCAAACCCTGGCCATCTGGACTACTTTCTCCCTCTACGAGACGAGACACGCCCTCCCCGATCTAAGCCCGAGTGGTAGCCGGTTTGTACTTCTGGTCCCAGAGGCTGGGTAAGACGCCCTGACACAAGTACGAATATCTTACCGTACAAGCTGCCCTTTAGGGCGACCGGCCAGTGGCTTATCAGTTACCAAGACCGGTGTAGACCTAGAACTAAGTCTCATTGCCATGCGGAGAATCGTGGAGAACCACCATGGTAGGACCGGCATAGCCGTCCGTGCACGGTGAGTTGATCCTCTTGGGACTTGGACCCAACTTGGGCCTAGTCGAGTCCCACAGCACGGAATTGCAGCTTCCTCGTCCACTCCGATGGCGTGGTCCAGAAAGAGGAGCCCTCTACTTAGTAGGCTCCCAAAGTCTCAGACTAGGCCTGAGCTGAGTCAATCCGTCGCTACGGAGTAATGCCGTATGGCCCGCCGAGCTTCTTGCAAATCCCTCTTCAATCATTCGACGATCACTGACGAAAGGTGGGTTACCACACCGTGCGCCGGTGTTTTTCTGAGGCCTAGAGAGTCTAGACATGAGTTTTGGCCTGTACCGTATGGACTAAGATAGTAGGCTGTGCCGAAAGGCAGACAATTTTGGGTCCGCGAGCCAGTCAGTCCACTTAGAGCGTCGTCGTCAAGTCAAGGCAGTAGACACTAGGAACTCCCCACTGTCCCATCGTTGCTATCGGCGAGCTGGCGTACCAAAAAGCAAGTTGGGGGCAATGAAAGTCCATTTCGGTCCGAGAGCCCGCTGTGTCTCGGAGGATTTGATATTCTCGGTGGATGATTTTGGACAGATGTGACGAATGTAAACTGAAGAGGAGAACCCGAAAAAAGAAAAAGGAAATGCAAGAAAACAGGGTGATTAACCTTGATCTTCTGGCGGAGGAAATCTGAGATCGCCCCAACAATGATGGAAGGGGCAAAGTAAGCAATCCCGAAAGAGTATAGAGAAGGTGGGAAAATTAAAAATCATGAAAAAAGAAATGAGAGAAAAAGCAAAGAAACGCGGCATAAGCAACGTAAAAGATAAACCAAAAGTGGAAAAAGGAAAAAAAGACTCAAAAGCCAGCTAGATGAGACGAGTGGGAGAAAAAGACGCATTCTTTCTTGAGACACCGCCGTCTTGTCGCACATTGAGAAGAGCAAACGTAACGGACACTGATAATTAGTTTCCATTTAGACTGAACCTGCGGCAAGCGCGCTTTGCGCGAACTGGGGCGGTTGCAGCGCAAAACCCCAGATGGGCTCATTTAGGAAGAGTGGAGAAAAAAACAAAAAGAGCAGATTCTGGACTCGTGCCGGAGGTGGATCGCCCGTCAGGTTATTTCATAATTTTCCATCACGCCCACGCTGAGCATCAACTTACCATGGATGGGATGCACGTCCCAACACAGTAAGTAGAATTCCACTAGCGGGTGAATAGCGTATAGTCTGCGCCAGAGGCCTGGCAGGACTGCAAGGACACCTCACAGTACGTCAGTGCCGACCTGGGGCTTTCTCTTAACGACTTAGCTCCAATATAGTGGCATCGCTGCGCCGGAGCCGACTGACCAGTCGCAGCAACTGGAATGACTAGACTGCCAGCACGTCACTCGAAACAGATGGAGACCAAGCGGTGCCTTCTTCCCATCCCCAGCATGGTAGGCAGGTCCGTAGAATTTCATAGCCGGCTAAGAGGACGTCTATTTGCCATTACGCTGGGAGCTGATGACCCTCCTCCCACTCGGTACCGAGTGGGAAGCCGGCCCACGCAGCATCCCACGCGCTTTCCTTCGGTCATCGTGCCCTCTGTTGCACAGGTGATGATGTATGATTTTCATGCACTCCGGTCTAAAGACATGCTTGACTGGTCCCCGGAGGTGGTCTCAACATACCGGACTGCGCTATTTCTTTCTCATTTCGTAATTCCATCAAGTACGATATACCCATTTCGATGTCGCTGCGTCTGCCCCGGGAAAGAAAAAAAAAGACGAATACCGCTGGGGCGGAACCGCAGGAACCTGTTAGACAGGGGAATCATTTCCCCTAGGATCCGATCGGGTTCAGCTCACGAGGTCTTCCAATGGGCGCGCGCACGGACGATATACGCGTGAGCTGCGCCTGACGATTCCATAGGAAGAATGGAAGTAGGGAGTGGTATTATTGTCTCTGTCACAACCCTTGCCCGGCCTAGTACTCTTTCGTATGTGAGTAAGCGCGTTAACTTAGTACCATTCCCATCCAGGCAAATCAAGACTAGTAGGCACCGGTACCGTCGCAATTGAGTGACATCCAGCAGCTAGTACATGGGCCGGGCTGCGGATCCAGGGCGGAGACGGACCTGCGCATGGTTTGAGTTTCTCGTCCACATAGAGTTCACTCTCTGATGGATCCTCACCCCCGCGTTTACCACTAAGACCCAGTGGAGCTCGATTGAAATGAATGCTGAGAATTCAGTGGGATCATGTGGATGCTGTCAGGTTCCTTTTCTTTTTTCGGGGCGGCGAATTGCGGCTTTTGCGGGGAAAGACAGAACGTATCAGAACCCAACCCAGCTCCCTGAATCCGGAATGTAGTAGTCCACTTGTAGCTAAATCGTCTGACCCTAATGATGATCTTTGAGTCTATGGCTTACTCTCCTGATTATAATTGGAGCCATTGTCCTCGCCGGGAGCAGAGAGTTTCGCCATGTTGAATTCTCCCATTGCCTCTTCCCATCAGACTTGCGACGTGGAGACCTGTATGCGTGAACAATAAAAAGCTTCATCGAAGATCCTCTTCTTTTCTTTTTCCCTTTTCTTCATTCCCTTTTGTTGTGGACTTTCTTCTCAACGGCAATGAATACCCTATCATGTCTTGCGTTGTCGATTTTTCTTCTTTCCATTATCTTCACCAGATACCGAAAGAATCTAACATCGTTATGGCGCATAGAACATGTCCAAGAACAGGGTTGCAATGATCTCAAGAAAATGGCTCCTTATCCGGCCCAGCCCATCAAGGGCAGGGAGAGGTACCGAGTTATGATGGACGTTCGGAAATTGGACGTGGAGAACTGGCTCACCGTTGACAAGAACTATATGGACGAGCACGAAGTTAGAAGCCAATTGCTGGAGACAGAGAAGAGCAAGGTCCTCCAATGCCTCCCTGAGTCATACGATGCATGTTTAGAGGCATTGGAGGAGGTAGTTGAATTCCTCTGCCAGCGATTCTCCAATGTGTTCGAACAGAAAAAGTGCGGCGATGAAACGACTGTGCACAACAAGATGACCGGAGAGACGTTTTGCTTTGGAGGGAAGAACAAAGACGTCGATCCACTAGAAATCGCCGTCAGACTGACGATGGAGGACCTGAGTATTCTGATGAAAAACGAGGAGGACGAGTACTATCTGTTAGTCTTATAATTCTGTTTCCGCATCCAATTAGACCGACTAACCGATATGAATAGCGCCGCCAGCGCAAGTCTTTTCCCCGTTGGCTGGACAGTTCAAGACCGCATTGGGTGGACCATCTCCAAACTTCACAATCCGGTACCACTGTGGCATCAGCAGGTTGCCAATTCAGTCAGCAAGTAAGTACTCTGGATGTTTTGACTGGCAGTACAGGCGAATTGCAGAAGCAAGGAGAGAGGCTAACATTCTTACTCCAGATTCTTGGCTCGGCTCACGCCATCATCGCCCATGGAAAGATCCAACTACTTCGTCGAAGTGAAGCGGCCTGATGAAGATTTATTTGAGATCCTCTATCGACCAACTTCTCTATCTGAGGAGAACCCGGATCCAACGCCGCAAGATATTGTCATTCGTCGCGAGCGGCAAACTTTCCGTCGACTTCCTCGTACCGGAGCACTGGTCTTTGGTGTCAAGACCATCTTGACAACTCTGGATGAGCTGCCGATGCAGGAACTGCAAAACCTTGCCAAGGAGATCAAGAGCTGGCCAGAGTATGTGGGGGAATACAAGGGAAGAGAAGTCTGGGGCCCTAAGGCTCTGGAGTACTGTGAAAAGAAAAGCCGAATGTATCAACAAGACCCTGAAAAGATGATGGTGTAATGGTTGAAGAATAATGAGGTAGGAAGGAGGGAAGAAGGGGAAGGCGGCGAAAAGGACGCCATCGCATGGGAGGCTTTCTGTTGCATTTTTTGCGTTTTGCATCGCTTCTTGCATTGGGCCATCAAACGGATGGGCGGCTGTCTGATTTGAAAAGTCTCCGGTCAAAGCATTGTTTCTTTATCGCCTGTATTATTTTTGCATTTTCATGATGCCGTTGACGATCTGCATGACTTGAGCAATCTTGTTGATATATTATAATTTGTTCACCTGGGAGACTTCAGACCAGCCCAGAATGCACACTTCTACTTTTCTTGTGAAAAGGCGCATACTACTTGCCCTCAACTAAAAGGTATAGTTTCCAGTAGCACCAATGTTTACAGTTAATCTACACGAATTTCATTTCTGGTGCCAGTAATATATGGATATGCCCCAAGAGACCAACGAAAGAATCCGACGAGGAATGACTGCAGATGATGGAATAGGATCGGTTCGTTGCCGACTAGACTATATACAATTATCAAATCTATACTATCTAACATGATTTACTCGAGAATACACAAATACGGGTATATCTACTACGACTGGACGTCAACAGCATGTGTCCTCCTCGTCAAAGCTTAGACCGAGGTGGCTCGTCTTGTTTGAGGCGCACGACTCCCTAAAAAGTAACTCATTAGACATGTCCTTTCAGTAAAAGTACTCAACACACATACCTCTTGGGTGCATGTAGCGATCAATGTTCCATCCTTTGACCAGATTTTTTGCAAAACCAAGCCTCGTCCCTCACCGGCCCAAGGACTCTCCATTTCTGTAAGCATCCATTCGTCTGCCCGGAATGCCCAAGGGTTATGGAAGTGGATCGAGTGATCAAGACTGACCATCATGCCCACTTCCTTATGTTCCTGGGGTGGCTGGTTAGTTACTCTGTGCAAAGCGCCCTCCAAGCGACGGCGTAAATCTGCCGTTTCTTCTTCCTTCAGCTCCTTGAGAGCGCGCGCAATATCCTCATCATCCAGGTCAGACGGGTTCTTGAGCGCATTTAGTGCCTTCTTAAGTTCCTCTGGGGAAGAGAACCGAGGAATGTTGTGAACCCTGGACACAGTGCCAATGAAATAACTGTCGGTCATATATGCAAGGGCGGAAAGATGAGCCTGATGGCCACCCGCATCGGAAATCTTGCCCCGTGACCGCATGAATCGTCTCGTTTTCCTCTCCTGAGGAGGGCGGTTTCCTGAGACAGTCAGCATATAACCTCAAGCTCTTCCGGCACACTATGAAGACTGACGATCTATAACCCCCGCTTTCTGTGATTCGAATGGCCCACCGCCCGATTCCTCGAACCTCCTTTTTGACCCCGGTCCAGGCTCCTCTGGCAGAGTGACAGCTGGCATTGAAGATGCATGCTCGAGCTTCTTCTTGCCGCCACTGTTGGCCTTGTTGAAACTCAGTGTTGTGGTGAAGATGGGGCGACCGCGCTGCTTGGCCTGTACCGTCCGCGTGATATAGCTCCTTCCATCACGTACTCGTTCCACGTGGTACAGTATAGGGATTTCGGAGTCACCGGCGAGGAGGAAGTAACAGTGCATGCTATGGACGGCAAAATCGGCGGGAACAGTTCGTAGCGCAGCGGCGAGAGACTGGGCGATGGCAGCACCGCCGTAGATGCCTCGCGCACCAGGCGGATGCCAAAGGGGTCGCGTATTGGTGAACACATCCTGTTGAAAGAGAGAAAACCGTTGGACTCGCGAGAACTAAAGAGATGGGAGGGAAAGACATACTCTCCCCACGTCAATCACCGGTGTCAGCTCTAACACATTCTCAACGGGCGCCTTGGTGGGATCCAACGGCGGAGGTTTGAAAAGAGTTGCTGATTCCGCCATATCTAGTGCTTTTCCGACTCCGAGACAAGGAAGGAGTTGAAACACAGGAATATGCACGAAGCAAATGAAGAAGAAAGTCTTGAGATCTGGCGGGGGTTAAGGAGGCCGCCTTCACACGCCGGTTCGGTGGAGCACGGGCTTTCCGATTCAGGCAATAGCCGAGGCATCTTGATTCTTTATAATTTTATCGGCATCTCCGGACTCATTCACGGTTTAACATATTTATACTGCCACATGACGGAGCAAAGTGTCCTGCAAGTGCATAGGCACCTGATAATTTCTATGTGTCCTATTGGAAGGATTTTTGGCAGTGGCCTTTCATTTCAACCAGACAGCCGAGGCTTTATTGTCGAGAGAAAATCATCAACTGAGTACGCGTAAGGCCACAAGGCAGACTTTCAATTCGGAGCCATCCTCAGCTGCACGACTCAATGACTGCTGTGATAGCAAGCTCAATGATCAAAATACGTATGCATTGCGCTTACATTTTCGTTCAGACGAACCTATGATACAAAATTCCTACCTCACACCTGGAGATAGAAAGCAAGCTCACGAGACTGGACGGCCACCATTTCGATAGAGCCACAATCTGCTCAGTTGGTGCATCTTCAACTTCATATTGAGCCCAACTTTCATGTTTTGCGCACTACCGGAGAGTACCGAGTTCAGGCTAGTGCCATCTACTTCCCCAGTGCCTGCGTCCAACAGCCCCGCTGCATCTAGGATCGTGACAGGCCTATCTTCTTCAGGCCTATCATGCCGACTTACTATGACATCTGTGTCCATGAAGTCGCCCTCCCGTGGCTCCCGCGTAAACCGGTTGGTTGGGTCAAGTGGGAACATCGTATCAAGATAATGCTGATTGAATTGGTGGCCTGAAGCGGGACTAACGAGTACCTTACCCATGAACCGGTTTTCGCGACGGTCCTGGGGCTTACTGTGGTCGAAATTCAGCACCCCAAATCGACATGCAAAATCACGTTTGTTGGCGTAGTGCTCAATGTGTAAGATGCTGCGGTTGTGGATATTGCCAGTGATGTCTCCCGTGCGCACATAGCGCATCGCTGCGTTACACGATGCCGTGTCGCGATACGGGTTGTTGAAGTGATTTGCAAGACAGCCAAAGGTGTAGATTTCCAGTTGTCTGATGAGATCCTGTGGTACTTCATCGAGAAGCCAATCCAGGATCATACCGCCCTCAATGCCCCCTTGCGAGTGCAGGATTAGCACAACCTTTTTTA